AGAGAAGAGAAATAGTCAGCCGCATTAGAACCAATCTGGTCAGTATCAGTGAGAACAGAGCCGTCTTCAGTGATAATCTTTATAATGGTATTTATATTATGACGATGTTTGATAATAGCATGAAAATACTTGGTGTTTCTGTTTTCATTCTTGAAATGGTTGTCACAAGCTTTCTGTTTAAAGAAATCCTCCTCAATTGAGAATTCCTTTAATAGGTTGTGATGAGCATCAGCTAATTTGGACACAAGATCAGGAGTGTCAATCAACTGTCCTTCTAAAGAATCAACCTCCTGTTGGGCCTTCAAAACTCTAGAGTGAACATTGCCGAAAGTATCAATGTTCCATCTCTTTAAATGAGAAATAACATTTTTATGGAGTTGCCGTAAAATGAGCCACGGGTTACCACTCCATCTAGAAACCCAAGTCTGTTTAATCAAGTCAATAAAAGTAGGGTGAGAAGCCCAAATACTAAGAAATTTGAAATGATAGCGAGAAGGTTTGGAATAAAAAGCTAAGCTGAGCAATATAAGATCATGATCTGATGCAGCATGATTCAGATGATTGACATGTATAATATTATAGTAACCCAAAAACTCTTGAGTTTCCCAGAAATCTATCCAAGCATTGCATAAGAAAACCTCGCCGCCAAGTATAAGGAGGACCAGAAAAACTTAAATCATAAAGGCCAGCATCCTCAATATGTTCACAGAAACGATTTATAAGATTTATAACAACTTTATTACCACCCCATCTCTCAGAAGATGACATAATCATATTTAAATCACCTCCAACGAACCAATTATCAGTAATAGCAAAACTCATATGAGTAAGTTGCTGTCAAAGGAGTTTATCCCTTAAATGAGAGCTGGCCTAAATAAAGGTAGCCCAACCTGAAAAATTCTCATATTGATACTGAATAAGAACATATTGCATATTATCATCAATGATTTTAAGAGTGATATCCTTCTGCCAAAAAAGCCAAATTTTGTTATTTACATTACAGAAATGCAAATACCCATTGAACTTCTTGATGATGTTATCTTTATGTATACAAGAGGTTCCAAAAGAACAAAAATACCAGGTTTATGGACCCTTCATAAATGTTTTAAACGATTAAAGGAGTGAGGGTCTGCCACTCCTTTAATGTTCCACACCAAAACATTATATATTTTGGCCCATGACACCCTCCCACCTAGCAAGCCTAGGGGGAAGGTGCAAGTGCTCACCTTCTGAATAACAAAAGACATCAATATTGTTTGTTTGTATCATATTTGGAAGCTCAGATTTCCTTCTCCTTTTTTTCCTACTATATCTCTGAATTTGCCATTCAGATTCTAAAACAGAGGCGGCTAAAGATGATGGATCCTGTTGTAATGAATTAGACACAGAAGTAGAGAGGTGGGTGATAGCGTGTGGGGGATCAACAACTTCCAATTGATTAAGTGACTTAGCAGGCATGTGAGGGGGGGGGGCTCGGTTTCAACTATGGGTGTAACAGAGGGTTCCACATTATCAACATTTCTAATAGGCCTTTCCTCAGCTGCAGAAAGAGGCACATTGGTTGCCTCCAAACAGGGAGCAACCATATCAACAGGATCCATGCAAACATCAGCAGACTGCGCAACAGGTTCAGAGAAAATAGTAGGTATAGCCGATTTCTACTCAACAGAAGCAACATGACCAGCAGGAAGCTTCCTTAGGTCGGGGTGCAAGTGAAAACAATGATCAAAATCATGACCAAACATGCTATAATGCAAACAGTAATGAGGATGCTTTTCAAGCAAAATCGACTGCCAATAACCAGTATGACTAGAGTCAATCCAAATCTCCTCCGGAGGAGGTAAGGTAACGTCACTTTCTATTAAAATTCTAGCGATTGAGGGTCTTGTTAAATTAAAGGTAGGGGCATCAAGCATTAGAGGCTTACCATACATGGCAGCAATAGAAAACAATATTTTGTGATTGAACAAATGCACATTCAGACCTGAAAGTCTAAGCCAGACATGAATATTAGGAAGCTCGGTTTTAGGGTTAAAATCAACAATCCATTTAAGGACCTTCATCCAAATATCACCAAAATGAACAATTCTACTAAAAATCTTAGCATAATCATCTTCGTTAGAGACCTGTATCAGAATATGTCGGCTATCCAAAATCCCAATCTTCTAGCCCCCTGATAACTTCAGAAGCTCAAAGTTCTTCATCAAAAAATCGTATTTCAGAAGTACCAACTAGATGAAAGGGACAGACAGAGGTGAGAATAGAGTTTTCAAGCGATAAGCAGAGGCGAGAATAGAGTTTTCAGAATCAGAGAGAAAGAGCGCACATTTCCCCCCCTTTACGACCCTGAGATTTAATGAAATTGTATTCCCCACCAAGAACAAGTGATTCGTGAAAGAAGGATGGGAAAACAAATTTCGGAGGAGACCCAGGGGAAGAAGCCCCCCACAGTGACCCCGGCGTATGTCTTAACCATACCCGAAAAGATAAGGAAAAGTCGGGAGAAGAAACCAAGTGCGAGAGGGAGGCCAAAACCAAAAAATCAGAAAGATCTCACCAGGGAAAGTCCATCGAGAACGAGCGAGCGCCGTCAGCATCCCCGAATCGCCACGAGATCGTCCTTAGCTCCAAACCCTAGCAGAGCACGACCAAAACCAAAAAGTCAGAAAGATCTCACCAGGGAAAGGCCATCGAGAACGAGCGAGCGCCGTCAGCATCCCCGAATCGCAACGAGATCGTCCTTAGCTCCAAACCCTAGCA